CACAGAAAAAAAGAATTTGCAACTTTAGGTAAAAGAAAAGCCCGTGTTGGCAGACTAATTTTGGTCAGGATTTCTTTAAAGTGAACATTTGGTTTTGTGGGTAAGCAAGGTATCTGCTAATAATTTCTCTTTGACAGCGCCATAGTACTCAGTCTTACCTTAAAATTTCTGACCTTTTCATCATGAAGCCTAGGAGAATTGATTTAGCGGGAGACGGGAATATTCCTGGAAGACATTCTTAAACCAGGACAGCTAGCAATAACTTACCTCTACACAGAAGTGACTGTAAACCACATAGGTATTTTCCACTAAACCCAAAGCACATGTATTTCCAAATTAACTTCCCTTTATGCAAATCTAGTGCTACCTACAAGAGAGGATGTCTGGCAGAGAGAGTATAGGAGTGTGTCTTAGTTTCCTACTTCTGCCCTAACAGAAATGTTGCTGGATGGAAACCCCAGGGTCTTACTCGGCCTGACTTGTATTGGAATAAATGAGAGGTTGAGGTGGGAGAACTGGAAAGGCACCTTTATTTTGTTATGAAGTCAGTTGGAGCTGCTGCTGCCAAGACTGCTCACCAAGGGTGGGCAGGCAGGTTACTTTTAAAGGGGTTTACAAGTAGGGAGTTCATACAAGTTACGTCAGCAAATGTTCTTAATCATGCTCTACTGGAGAAGTGGGATTTATATATAACCTCCAAGCAAAAGCAGGATTCAAATGCAAAGCTGTGGGGGTAGGGGCAGCAAAGGAAATGATATTTCAATACAACTCTGTAGGGGAGGAAGCCAGGTAAAGAATACAGCACTGTGGGGGCTCTGTCTCAGAAATACCACAAATGGTGGCTTTAAAGAACAGAAATGATATTTTCTCACAATTTAGAGGCTAAAACTCCAGATCAGGGTCCCAGCCATGTCAGTTCCTTCTGTGAGCCTCTCTCCTAATTTCTGGTGTCTGCTGGCAATCCTTGATGTCCCTTTGCTTGTAGACGATCTTCACATGACTTCTGTCTTCCCTTGTGTATATGTATGTATGTCTGTGTCTATCCTGGTTTTCAAAACTCAGTAGTCATTAGGTTTACTATTCACCCTACACAGGTACAACTTCAACTGATTCACTGATTATATTACGTTAGATTGCATTATGGAGTGTGATTACATCACACTGTGTTAGATAAAAGGTAATTGTATTCGATTTCATATGGCAGGTAAACTGCTGTATCCAAAACCAACTGATTTAGTCACACGGAAACTACTCAGTGACTACAAGTAGACTAGAGTTAGGAAAAATAATTGGGAACCATAGCCTAGCCAAATTGACATATAAAATTAAGCATCACAGTGTGGAGATACCAATCTTTGATTATTGTGATAGCATATCTTACTTTTGCCAATCTTACAAAAACACGTGACCATGCACATTTATTGCTAGAGCCGCTCTCAGAGCCTGTGTAAGTGAGGGGCCTAAAGTTAAGCTTTATTAGCTTCATGGTGACTCCTCCTCTCACCATCTGCTTCTCATCCACCCTATTGCTGCTCATCAGAAGTGTCCTTTCCCTACTTGCTTCGGCGCCAGATGGAAGGAACCAGTGATTTGTGACAGTTCTCACTGCCTAGCCGATGTGTTCCCAGTATCCCTAGTTGAAATTCCGAATACATTTCCCACAGAACCATTGTTATACTCTGTCTGAGGTTCTTGGTTCATTATGGGTTAACTAAACCTTATAAATGGGTACCCTGGGCACCTTGCCAAGATTTTCATGGGAAAATGTGTTTAAAGTTCCAAACAACTAATTTACACATGAACTCTTCTGTAAATTGGGGAAGGTGTTTGTGAGTTACAGAGGCTTTGAAAAAGGGGACAGACAGATTCAAGCTATCTTGTTCATGTTTGGTTGATTTGTTTTGTAGCCCTATTATTCCACTTATTCAGATTTAGTGTTTCACTTGCTTTAGGAAGTAAATTTAGCAGATTATGATATATTTTGTTATCTTTCACCCATTTTTTTCCTCAGATTTAGAAGTATGAAGCTGAAAAATGAGATTATGTATTTTTAACATTATCCTTATTTCTTTTTTTAAAGTTTTATTTTGGGGAAAGTATGCACAGGCAAAAATACACACCATGTCAACAATTTCTACTTGTACAATTCAGTGACACTGGTTACATTCTACAAGTTGTGCTGCCATTCTCACTCCTTTTCCAAATTATTCCACCATCATTACCTTAAACTCACTGCCCCTAAGCTTCCCATCCAAACTTTCAAGTTGCCATTGTCAATTTGATCCCACATAGATAAGTTATCCTTATATCTTAAAGACCACTTGTTTCTGCTAATGGAAGATTTAATCATTATTTGAATCATCTTTGTTCCTAAGCCATTAGTATTTAATAAATGGCACTCTAATCTTGTGATGTGGCTCCCTACTCCCCCAAATAGTCTGGGGAGAATCATGAAGGTCATAGAATTCTATGTTAGAAAGGTTGAGAAACTAAATATAAGCTTAAGTTAGATTGAAAATGCTGTATCTTCTTTTTGCTGAATCCTAGAGCACACCTCTGTGATCATAATTTCATAGGTGATGAATCTGAGGCCTAGGGATTCAGTTAGTGAGGGAGTTGGGACTAGAACCCCAACTCTGCATATTCAGTTCTAGTTCTCGCATTCAAAGATCTCTGGGGCTAAGCCAGAATATAGAAACTTGAAAGATGATTCCCTACTTCTGGATCTCCTGCTGTTTCGTGGTATGTTTCATATATTTTTCACTTGTAAGGCAGATAAGATATTAATTGTCCACCTCCCAAGATTGTAACAATACTGAAAAATGTGATTATAGAAGACTTAGGTACCCAAATGCTAAATAAAAAGTGGCTCGGTCATGGAATTAGGTACCCAAGTGCTAAATAAAAAGTGACTCAGTCATGGAAAAGAAGCAGAAATTGCTTTAGTATCTTACTGTATGCTTAGGGAGAATTCAGAGTTTGGTCAGAAATGGTGGGAAAAAAAAAGTTTAGATTTTAGGATTTAAGAATGCATGTGTAGTGTAATAATTATTCATTCTTTTCCCCAGTGTTTCTGTTATCTGCCAACAGTGCAGTTCCCACTGACGTCAAAAGAAGCTTTCTCTGTGGACTTAGGTTGTAAGAGAGAAGTGTAATTAAAATTCTTGATAATTTTAAATGATAGTGCTCTTTGTAAGTAGGGTATTTCCTGGGCTCTTGCTCTATATAAACTAATAAGCGATACAGCAGCCGTTTCCCCCTTTCTTCACTATACAGGTAGTCCCCAACTTTTGAAGTATTCAAGTTACGAGGAACTGCACTTAAAACTGTCTTTTTTTTTTTTTTCTTGTACAACTTATCATTAGTAATATGTGGTACATACATTGTTGCAGCACATAATTTGCTGATGTTATCATTCTCAGATGTTCACTCACAGATGTTCAAAGATCGGATTTATAAAGATACTGAAATAAAAAGGCAATAATAATGAAAAAAAAAAAAAAGAGGTATTCGCCTTACGTTTGAACCAACTTACGACTGAGTCATCAGAACGAAACCTCGTCATAAGTTGGGGACTACCTGTAACGTATAGATTTCTACTTTAATGAGATTTGAATATATAGTGTAACCATTTATAGCAAGCGAGATAAAAAGTATTCTACTGTGTAGCACTTAAGTGAAAGGCCATTAGGGAATAAGCAACAGCAGTATTTTCTCTTTGCACTGAAAGTACTTTGAAGGTGATGCAAACCATAAAGGAACCACCAGCTTCTTGCAGGCTTGTAAGTTTGTTTTGCCTGCTCTCGTTTTTTGGACTTTCTTCGTTTGAAGAAAAGTATGGACCCTGGGTGAACCTGCACAAAACATGGAGTTTGCAGGACCAGAGAAAGATACGTCCCCAGGGCTTCTTCATAAGCTAACAGTACAGCACTTCACAAGGCCTGCTCACTGCCTGTTGTGCACTTTGGGTCGCCATCAAGTGTCAGCCTCAGGAACTGAAGCTGCTATTAGAGAACCACGCCCTCTTCTACCAAGTACAGCTGTGAAACACCTTTGTGCTTTTTCATCTGGGGAATGAGGCTGCTTTGGATCAAGAGTTATTGGAAAGCAATGAACTGACAATAATGAGGTTAGAGATGTGTCTGGCAGTCGGTTCCTCAAGCAGTCATTATATTTGGTATCCTCTTAATCCAACATTCTCAAAGAGAGAATTAGAAATTAATTTCAAGCTTTTCTTTACTGAAAGAAACTTTAGTGCAGTCTTTCGAATACCCAGGGGATCCCCTTATTTGAAGTGAGAAGCACCTTGATTGTAGGATAAAATGATTTAGATGATTTATTTTTTATTTTTCAAATCAAGAAACATTGATTAGGCATCTGTTAAATTCAAGGTAGTATGCCCAGTGCTGGGCATAATAAGAGGTCTCTGTCCTCGAGGGCTTGTAGGGTAAAACATGGTAAAAACATGGATCACAGCAGTGTTTGTGCTGATAGGTAGATTCCTTTAACTGGAAGCCAAATTGAAGATAAGATTGATTTCCACTTACGAAAGTTGAAAGGCTTGAACAGGACATGTCTGCACAAAAGAAGTTTATTCCACTTTGGCAGGAATGTTGTCAGGAATGTGATTTTTCTTAGAGAGCAAATAGGTCTACTTTAACACACTAAAAAGGGCCTCTTATACAGGAAGCTATGGTAGTTTTAGCCTACTAAAATTGTAAGGCAGATGTTACCAAATACCACGTGAGCAACTTAAAAAAATACAAATCAAAACCTTGGTAAAGAGTTCATAGAATGTCTAACTTTAATAAGCATTTATAGCTTCTTGGTGAACCTAAGAGAAAAAAAATCCTTGTGTAATATCATCTTGGGTAGTTGAATGACTTTATTTGCTCTTTGAGATTGTTTATCTCTGAGCCAGTTACATGTTGAAAGCATCCTCTTTATCCAGTTACATTTGCTTGGGATTCTCATTGATTGTGGTTTCTTTTGCATTGCAGTGTTTTAATCCTGGGTGCTTCAGGTGGAGTTGGTACTTTTGCTATACAGGTAAAACAATTTTTTAATCCTGTGAATGAGAAAGTTTACTGTTTACATTAATTTATAAAATCACATATTTCAAATGATTTTTTCCTTTTAGCTGAGAGAGAGGTAGGTGTGGTAAATTCACTATAATTTCAGCTTGCTCTTTTAAGAGGAAAATTTTCTAATATAGAAGGAGGTGTTAACCTTTCCCATGGTTTAATATATGAGTGAGTATGTGGGTGTCATGTATAACAAATGTAGGAAAGCTTTTAAGGAGAAGGACAATGGGCAGATCAGGTAGATAAAAGTTTGCAATTGATAGGAAATAACCAATGTCAAAACCAGTGCTAGTCTTTAATCAAAATTTCTGCAGGCTTTTTTGTAGAAACTGATAAGCTAATTCTAAAATTTATTTGGAAGTGCAGTAGCCAAACAATTTTTAATAAGAATACAGTTTGAGGACTTACATTATCTGATTTTAAGACTTGCTATAAAGTCTTACAGTAACCAAGATAGTGTGGAATTGGTGTACGGATAGACATATAGATGATTGGTCAGTTGATTTTCGACAGAAGTGTCAAGGCAATTCGATGGGGTAAAGAGTAGTCTTTTCAACAAACGGTGCTGGAACAACTGAATATTCTATATAAAAAAATCCTCAACGAGATGGATTGATACAGTAGCTGCAACAATGGGGTCAAATATAACAGTGATTTTGAAGATGGTGCAGGACTGGGCAGTATTTCATTCTGTTGTACATAGGGTCACTATGAGTTGGAACTGACTCTATGGCACCTAACAACAAAAAAAATGAACCTCAGTAAACCTTACCTCACACAATATAAAACAGTAACTTAAAATGGATCATAGTAAATAAACACATGCCATGTTACCTTACTAAAAATAGAATGTGTAACTGAAAAATTTTAAAAATACAAAAGAAATAGATTAAAAAAGATTTGAGAGAAAGTGTCAAATATGGAAGATAGGCAAAGAAGCTTGAATGTATGGAAAATGAGAGTCTCTGAAGAAGAAAACCATAGCAAGGGAATAGAAGAAATAGTAACAACTACAATTCTGGAAACTTTGCTAAATTAAATTATTTGAAGACTATCTATTTTGTATAAGAAAACCAAAAAAAAAACAAAAACAAACAAAAAAACGACTCAACGGCACCTAACAACAAAACCTAACACCTTTTGAATGAGTGCGTACATCACTTATCTAAGAACATGGACTTAGAATGACCAATACCTAGATATAGTCTAGTAAAATTACTGGTCTTTAGAGAAAAAAAATCCTCTGGGCATCTAGAAAAAAAGAAATTGTGACTTTTAAGAGAAATAATGTTATATTATCAGACTTTTTGACAACAACACTTTAATGTCAACAAAAAAAGGAATAACATATTTAATATATCAAGAAAAGAGCAAGCCAAGAATTTTATATCCAGCAAAAGTGACCTGCAAGTACAAAGGACAGATACAAACTATTATCAACATGCAAGAACTTGGGGACTATTGTTCTTCTGATCCCTTTCAGAGAAATCTACTGGAGAATGCACTTCACACAACTGAAATGACTAGAGAGACATCAAATTAAGGACTGGTAGTGAATGTTAAATGTATAATTAATTGTAGAGCTAAAACTAAATGTGTTCTTAAAAGGAGACAGTACAGTGTGCAATAACCATATGCTCTGGCAAGGTAGATGTAATACAACTATTTTTTAAAAGGGGGGAAATAGGGAGAGCATATTAAAATTATTTTAATGCTTTTAGCAATCATGTTGATAGTACTATTGGTATTATTATTTAGAGACTGTAATATGTGATCAAATGAATGAGTAGTTATGGAATATTCTAATTCTTTCATCCCATGTGTCTTTAAGAACCAGGATTCTAGGTGTGGAAGAAAGGAGATACAGATGTAATAGAAAGAGATTAAGTAAAAGCTCCGTAGTCTCAAATTTATTTTGGAAGTGTCAATATGAACTCCAGAAGTACGTTATATATGTGGGTATGTGAATGCAGAGATAGCTCTTGAACTACCATTTCTCACTAAAAGAATACAGGTCTTCTTGGAGAAGTGACAGATTCCAGATCTAGGGCACAACATGTATGAGAAGAGCCTAGAATATATCAAATAGCAAGGAAGCTATCACAAACTAGTAGGGTCATGTCAAAAAAACTCTGGAGCTAACTTAAAGAAGCTTCCAAAGATTATCCCAAATTGTTCCAAAGTGACAATTTGAGTTTTGGTAATAGTAATAATTGCAATGGATTGAAACCCTTTAAATATATTTAAATCCATGAGTTCATGAAGACTTTTTTTTTAAGTGGTCATTTTTGAAAGATGATAGGGAAGCAATTTATTATTTTTTAAACTGTTAAATAAAGGAAAAGAACTAAACATTTTCCCTGCCTTTTCTGTATGAACTGTATCACTGAATAACCAAATAGTATGTGAAGGAAGATATTTCTTTATAAAAGTATTCTGAGTACTAAATGAAAAAAGAAGAGATAGAATATCACCATTTTGCAACTCCCAATTAACAGATATAGGTATTAAGCATCAGCAGCCAGTAAGATCACTACAAGAGCAGCAAGCAGACGTGATGTGCCTCTTATAGTTTTGCATGACACTATCTGTAATCTTGCTAACAGGATTGAACCTGAATCTGAAACAGTTTCTAGGTCCATCTGCCAATTTGCAGGAAATACAAAGGACAGAACAACATGTGGAATTGCCCCTGAATGTGCAGTCAGCAATTCCAGACTGTGGGAAACTGCAGATCAAATGGCCCAGGTTCTTCCACAGATAAATTGTAAGAAAGTGAAAGGGATAGAAGAAGAGTTTATAGTTTAAAACAGACATTAAAAAAATGTCAAATTTTAAAAATGCTCAAGACTAAACTATAGTGTCTAGAAATTCATATTTGGGTGATAAAACTTTTTTTTAATGTATGGAGGTGATTATTATAAAAATCAAGATAATGATGACTTCTGAGCAGGGGGGCGGGGGGGAACGCGTTGGGACAGGCACATAGATGAGCTTCCAGAGTGGCTGCCAGTGTTCTGTTTTTGATCTGGGTAAGTCTGCCTTATAGGCATTTTTAATATTTTTATTTTATTTTACAATTAAAAAGGTTGTAAAAGCTAAAGCTGTTTTTAAAAACTTCTAGTAATGTTCAAAGTTACTAGATAGTTCTAACTGGGAGAAGAAAAACTTGATATTTGAAACAATAATCACAACTCTTTCAACATGTGTCGAATTCTTCTTGATGGTTTCATACTGTTTAAAGAAATGTAGATGCTTAGAGTAGAATTTCATTTTTCCTTGACTATTTCATATATGTGTGTGTGTGTGTGTGTGTGTATGTATGTATGTATATGTATATATGTATGTATGAGAAAGGATGGTCGTAAATGAGCTATTCATCTTAGATTATAGTTTTCACATATTTGAATTTAATTTGCTACTTGCTATTGAAAGCAACATGTCATTATACTCAAGTGTCTTTGTTTTTAAGGAGCCCTGGTGGCACAGTGGTTAAGCGCTTGGCTGCTAACCAAAAACTTTGTGGTTCAAACCCACCAGCCACTCCTTGGGAGAAAGATACGGCCGTCTGCTTCTGTAAAGATTTACAGCCTTGGAAACTATGGGGCAGTTCTACCCCGTTCTGTAGGGTTGCTATGAGTTGGAATTGACTCAACAGAAGCTGGTCTTTATTTTTAGCCCATGAAACATAATAATTTTAGATGATATCCCTCCTAAATGTTTTAATTCCCCTCAGATTTCCAGGGTATAAGCTCTTGGCCAATATTACTTTTTAAGAGTGAGAAATAAGATTATGTATGATTTTAAAGCCCTTTATTTGTTTCTGTATTTAACAGATATTTATTTAGCACCTGTGAGTACCAGGGAGTGGGATTCAGCAGTGAACAAAATAAACACAGATCCCTTACGTTCTAGTGAATCTTTGTAACTTAAGTTAACGAAGCTCAGGAAAGCGATACTCAGGACAAGATTGAGAAAACAGCTCATCGGTTATTACCTATAACTATCAGTACAAAAATTTCTTGGTGAACTTTAAGTAGCTATTCTCAAATTAGGCTGGAAGCAGCTCCTTTTAATTCTGTGAAATTGGCAATATAGAAAAGAATTGTAGCAATTTTTGGAGCCGGGTGCCTTCTGGATACTTAATCTAAAGAACATTAGAATTTAGCTCTCCTTTTTATTTACATCTAGTTATTCCTTATTAAGGAGCTCTGGTGGCACAGTGGTTAAGCACTCAGCTCCCAACCATAAGGTCAGCGGTTCGAACCCACCAGCCGCTCCACGGGAGAAAGATGTGGCAGTCTGCTTCTGTAAAGATTACAGCCTTGGAAACCCTATGGGGCACTTCTGTGTCCTATAGGGTCGCTATGAGTCGTGATCGGCTCAACAGCAATGGGTTTGGTTTTTTGGTTTTATTCCTTATTATTTTAAAATATAAGTTATCTGCATTTGTAATCCTGTGAACCACTCATTTTGGTCTTTTTACTCTAAAGGAGAGGACCTGATTCACATTTTAAAAATAAATTGGCTATATTTTCTTCCTCTTCTTAAAGGCACCTTTTTGTTTATTATGTAGTACCTGATAACTGATTACTTTGCTACACTTGTCTGACTCAAAGACTGTATTAACACTCACTGAAGATGTAAATAAAAGGATGTTTCATTTTTATGTTCTGGACACATTTAAAATAGTTATTTTACAAAGGACATGTGACCTTTTTTGCCATCTACTCTTGTCATCATTGAAAGCACTGAATTTGAGGTTGTTGACTGTTGTTTCTTCTGATACTGGTGAGACCACCCTTCTCTAAGTGGATTGGATATAACTTCATGACAACATGGTGATTGGCTGTCTTGATCAGGGTAAATGAGATTTATTTCATGGTAAACTAAAGTTTAATCATTTTTACTGGTCTCTGGCAGATGGCTTTCTAGAGCTCTTGTTAATACAAAGCACTTAAAATTCTCTAGAGATTAAGCTGATATATGTACACATGGTGCCAGCTGTTTTTTAAAAAGTACAGTCAGTTTTCCTACTTTCTTCCTCCTTCATTTTTTTGGCAGGTAGTGAAAGCATGGGGTGCTCATGTGACAGCAGTTTGCTCTCAGGATGCCAATGAACTTGTAAGGAAGCTTGGGGCAGATGATATAATTGATTACAAATCTGGAAACATGGAGGAGCAGTTGAAATCCATAAAACCGTATGTATTAGCACAATGTTCACATTGGGAGGGTGGGAACCAGGGCAGCTGATAATGAAGACCTGAGATGGTTTGTTGGCCTTACAGTTGTGTTGGGTTCTTAGAGAAGAATCTATAAAAACATGCCATGTCATTCAAAGTCATTTAGGTGGGTTTTTGTTTTAAATCTAGGTGTTAATATTAATATAGCACAATAACATAGTATGATATATACTCCGGAAGATATTTTGCTTACATGGTCATTTGATAATTTTAATTTAACTTACTTTTATTTATTGCTGGTTTGTAAGACGTCTGAAGGCAACACTGGAAGTGTGTTCTATTTCATGGCATCTGTCACCACAGAAGTATGTAGAACAGTGCATGAAAATACCTGGTTAGCACTAAAATGCTTTCAGTGTTTTGGCTTAATAAAGGCTTAAGAGGAACAAAGTAAGTATAAATATTGGTAATGGGAACACTGGATTGTGTCTGAATGTCTGAAGTCTGGAGTTTGGCCTAATTATACTGAATAGGAGCAGATTCAGGAATTCTCTCAGGCCCCATTGATCCCAACTGTGGCTGAAGGCAGAAATAGACGGGATGCTTATTAATCTGGTCTTCATCTAGCCAGGACAAAAACTGAAGCTGAGAGGACAACCGAGGACTATTTGGAAAGCTGTTTTACTGCTTCTAATTCAAAGATTTTCCATTTGTTGATTAGTTTTCAGAAGCCAATTACTCTTGCCCACCTTGAGTAGAACTATACTATATTTTCGTGGGTAATTAAAAAAAGAAAATGGGAGCCCCCATCTGGCTCTGCCTAGTCTTTCTCAGCCAGCACCACCAATCCCAACAGTACTATGACAGTGCATCTGGAGCAGTTAGCCAACTCATTATTCATGCAACTCTTTATGGAGCAGCTACTCATGCTGGGCACTGTTCTAAACATGAGGATACAGGGGTGAAACAAGACAAAGCCCTTCTTCTAGGGAGCTTACATTCTAGTTGGGGAGGTTTTGAGTGATAAGGACTCTGAAGAAAATTGATGTAGAGAAAAGGGCTAACCCGTGGTTGGGAGAAGGCTATTATAGAGAGCGTGGTTAAAGAATGTCTCTCTGAGGAGTTGACATTTGAGCAGAGGCTTCAGTGATGTGAAGGAGCAAGCCATGAGAATGGGTTTTTTTTTTTGTTTGTTTGTTTTTTTGTCTTTTTGTCTTACTTGCTGCTATGTCCTTATCACCTGGAAGAACAGTGCTTGGCATGAAGTAGGTACTCAATAAGTATTTGTTTAATTATTGAGGAAATCTAAGAGAAGAACAATTGTTCCAGGTGGACATAGCAAATATAAAGGCCCCATGGTGAGAACACCCTTGGCACATTCAAGGAATAACACTACCCCCTGTGTGTGTGTTGAGACCTAGGTCCTTCTGGGCCTTGTAAAAGTGAAGACATGACAGGTCTCCAACACCAGGCGTCTAGATGGTGGTAGCTTAGGTTGATCTCTTAGCTTCTGATGCTTCTAGGAATAGCAGCATGAGACTAAAGCCAAGGCCAACCCACCCCCCTCTGTCTACCTTAGGTTTTATACATGTCTGGAATTTGTTATCAGAGAACAGGAGAACCTGACAGATGGAAGACTGGAGGACATTCAGTTTAGCCTCCCAACCCGCCTTGACAAATGGTCATGCTCCTTCTGCTTGAACTGTTCCAGTAGGGGCACCTCACTACCTTATAATGCAGGCCTTTTTTTTTTGACAGCTTTTGTTGAAATTGATCTTTATAACTTCTGCCTGGAGTTTGGCCTCCAGGTAGAAGAAATTTCTTTCTCCTTCCAAATAGCAGCTTTTTTGGATGTTAGAATTTTAGAGCAGGACCAAATCGGTTGCTGCTGACTTGTGGCGACCCCATGTGTGTCAGAGTAGAGCTGTACTCCAGAGAGTTTTCAATGGCTGATTTTTCAGAAGTAGATTACCAGGCCTTTCTTCTGAGGAACATTTGGTTGGAAGGGGCTTTGAAATCCTTCAGTTCAACCATATCATGTTACAGTTGAGGAAATGAGGGGCAGAGGATTTATCAGACTTTGCATACTCAAAGTCTTTCAACTAATCATAGTGGAAGAGCTGGATCTATGACCTGTTCTCGGACTTCTTTTTCAGGCTGTGCCTGTTCCATAATACCAGGCTGCCTGTAAGTCTTCTTTAAATTAAGTATCCCCATATTTGTTTATTCAAATTTTTGGAAAAAAATAGAAACTTTAATAATGAGAATAGTCATCTCATAAGGTCATTCTTCTGAGTTTCATATTCTTTAAGTTGTATTTGCCCTTCTTATTTTAGTCCCATGAAAACTCAAGATCCACAAAGTTTGCCAAAGCTGGTTTTAGAAGCTTTGATGTTTGATTTCATCCAGATGAGTTTGGAGGGGGAAAAAGGATTTACCAAAAAGGAATTCGTTTATTAATTCACTTAATTTATAAGCATGCATTCACTTAATAGATCTTTGTCATCAAAAGTATTTAAAAGCTTCATCGGGCTTTTATCCCCTTTAAGTAGAATACAGTGATTATAACAATTCTAGATTGGATTTAAGGAGTTTAATATCTGTCAGTTCCTGTAGACTTCATTATAACTGGATTTTTGGCATGATAGAGCAGGACTGAAGACTGGGAACATCTTGGCTGATTTGGTTGATTTCTTTTCATGCATTTTTCTGATGGTGCGCATAGAAGAACCAAAATATAGGAGAAGATTCTAGAAGGTAAAGAGGATGAATTCTATAAGCAGTTCTGACTGTGGACGGAATACCAAACCATTCTTGTGAGTGTGTAAAAAATGATATGGCAGGGGTGTCTGACTTTGTCTAACTTCAGGAGTGGAAAAGAATCATCAGCATCAGCCCAAGGCTGATTGCTATGAGTTGGAGGCTAGGCGTACCTCCACCCTCCAACCTTCTTATCAATTCTGACACCCACTGTCCCTCCCACAGCACACTCTACTTCTCTGCTGGGTTTGATAATTCGTTGCAGTGGCCACACAGAACTCACAGATAGGACTCACAATTGTGGGATTTATTAGGGAAGTAACAGGTTATGGTTCAGGATCAGGAATGACTCAGGATACAGTTCTTTGATTAGGACAACTTCTCAGCCATGCCTGCAGGCAGGCCTCTTTCTGGCCCTCAGCCTCTTGGCCCTTTGGCCCCTCAGCCCCTGCCCTACGGTTACACTCAGCCCCCTGCCCCAAGTGTTACAAAGCTCTTTAGCTCTGTCAGTAAGTGCCTGGAGGAACCGTGCTTCACCAGTAAGCCTTGACCCAAAGACACTCAGCTCTCTTGCTCCGTGGGTCAGCGTACCCACTGTCGCTGCCTCACTCTGTGGGCCAGGAAGCCCACCACGCCATCTTGTGCCGGTCCCCTGGTTCTGCTGTCACCATTTCTCTACCACTGCTTCTTGCCATCTTGTGCCATCTCCAGTGTTTACAGCTCTCTCTCTCTGTCTCCTGCGTCTGAGTCAGCGCAGGGACCCTGGGTCTGAAGGATGTGCTCCACTCCTGGCTTTTTTTTCTTGGTGGTAGTGAGGTTCCCCCTTCTTCTCTGGGATTGGCTCTCTTTTTAAGCCTAGAAGGATGGCAAAACCGACCAATCCCCTCGTTAGGGTTCCATCCACTTTATTTGAATGGCACCACCCCCACAGGGGTGCCATGCATTATTTGCATTATTAGCAAGCTGTCCAATCCCCTTGGTGGGCCACAAGCACCTTATCTGCATAGTCCCACTCAGTCATTTTGGAGGAGTCACAAGACCATGCATGGCTAGAAGGGCCATATTAAGTAATTCACTGCACTGCAGAGTGAAAGCCTTATATACTTTCAAGTATATGTGTACACTAAAGAATACTTTGACTTTAATTAGTTGGGTATCTGTGGTTTTCTGCAAAGCTTAAGTCAAGGTTTCTTCACCTTGGCATCCTTGATTTCTTAACTATTAACATTTTGAGCTGGATAATTTTTGTGGTTGTAGGGGGCTGTTCTGTGTTTGTAGTATGTTTAGCAGAATCCTTGGCTTCTACCCACTTGAGATGCTAGTAACACCCTCCCATTCCGCTCCAGTTGTGGCAACCAAAAATGTCTCTACAAGTTGCCTAATATGTTCCCCGGGGAGGGGGCGAAATCACCCTTGGTTTGAAACCACTTGCTTAACTCATTCTTAAAGTATTGGAAAATATGATTTTATGATAAGACAAAAACAGTAATATTTGAATTACCTTGGAGAAGAGCCAGAGAACCAGTGACTGAGAGTGTCTTTTCCTTCTCTTTTCATGCCTCTGTTGGATAGCATGGTGCAGGGTGATTTGTAAGCTGTCACTGAAATTAAACCCTATAGTCATCTGGCAATGAGAGTGAAGAGAAATCAGAGCCTTTATAAAGACTTAGTAGGATATTTTGGTTTTTGTTCTTTCTCTTCAGGTTTGATTTTATCCTCGATAATGTTGGTGGATCTACTGAAAAATGGGCTCTAAATTTTCTCAAGAAATGGTCAGGTGCCACGTATGTGACCTTGGTGACCCCTTTCCTCCTGAACGTGGACCGACTGGGCATAGCAGATGGCATGTTGCAGACCGGAATCACCGTGGGCTCTAAGGCATTCAAGGTAGGAAGGAGAGTCTTGGTTGGGGGGAGCAAGCAGATGTGTCATGCTCTGGAAATTGGTTTGCTGCCTAGCCAGTCTCTCTTCTCATGGAAGCAGCATAGCCGGTGACTGCAAGCAAGGACTCTGGAGTCACACTAACTGGGCTCAAATTCTGACCTCCATTTAGTAGCTGTGTGACCCTGTGCAAGTACCTTAACATCTTAACATCTCTAAGCCTCAGTGTCTTCACCTAATGTCTTAGGCTGGGTTCTCTAGAGGGGCAAAACCAGTGAAGCGTATATATATACATACACACACGCACACGCAGACGCAGACGCACACGCACACACATGTATATATAACCTGACCCATTGCTATCAAGTCGATTCCGACTCATAGTGACCCTATAGGACAGAGTAGATCTGCCTCATAGGGTTTCCAAGGAGCAGCTGGTGGATTCAAACTGCCAACCTTTTGGTTAGCAGCCGAGCTCTTTTACCATTACGCCACTAGGGCTCCATATGCATATACAGAGATATTTATTTCAAGGAAATGGCTCATGCAGTAGTGGAGGCTGGCAACTCCCAAATTCATGGGTCAGGCATCAGGCTTCAGGCTTCTCCTGGCTCATGTGGTTGCAGGGGCTGACAAACCCAAAATCGACAGGTCAGAAGGCAGGCTGCTGGCTCACAGGGCTGCAGGAGCTGGTGAATCCCAAAATCTGCAAGTCAGACAACCGGCTACTGCCTCATGCCCTAAGAACCAGAGGTCAGAAGATGACCAGTCAGTTGCAGGATCAAGAGAGTGCAAGCTTTGCCAACATCCATATATATCGGATGCAGGCCACACTCCCAAGGAAACTCCCCTTTCAACTGATTGGCTTCTCACATCAGATCACAAAACGGAGGATGGTTACATAATATCTGCCACACCACTGAGAATCGTGGCCCAGCCAAGTTGACACATAACCATCACACTTGTAAAAGTAGACTAATAATACATCTACTTTACTGCATCATTGTATGGGTTAAATGAGATAACTCATGTGAAGAACTTGGCACAATGCCTAGTACATAAGAAACTCTTATTAAATATTAGCTTTATTATTAGCCATTGTTACCTCTTTTGATTCTATCTGGGACACCTTCTGCTTTCTTCTTGCGTGTACCTGATGGCCCTTTCTCTGTTTCACCAGGTTAAACACACATATGTCTACAGAGGCTAACAGAACCATCATGCCTCTGCTGGAATTTTATCAGTTCATTGTGCTAACACTGCATATCCCATGTGAATCAGAAACTCTAGCTATTGATGTCATTATGGGAGTTTCTGGGCCGTGATTGGTCACCCTGACTCTATTGGTCAGTGCTGCTTGGAGCTATATTGCCCACCTGAACACATTCAGTGTGTCGTAGGCCTTAGAGACTAGAGCAAGCCGGCCTTAGTTATGAGGCTGATAGCAGAGTCTGTGCTCACTGCTGAACATGATAGCCCGTTACCACAATTGTGACAGAGGTTTATATAATTTCATGTTATCAGCTGTTGGTAATTCTTGATCATTGGTTTAAAGTCTGAATTAGAGTTGAAATGGAATAGATTATAGAACAAAATAATACAGATATTTTCTAATTAGACAAAATATTTCAGACTCAGGAAAAAGGCAGTAGGCGGTTCCTCAGTGGTAAAAAGGTTGTGAGTCACTGTGTTGACCCAGCTAACCCTGGCACACATTTGTGAGATGGGTGGCTTGATAATTATGTTCAGCTTCTGTTTTATTCTGGAAATTAATTTGGGGTCTCTGGCGATGAATTTAGTACTTTAGTCTCTTGAATACTGTGTACTCACTAAATGGCTTAGAGATAAAAAAAGAAGAGCTATGATAGAGGAGACCACAACTCAATTTGTGTGAAGTATGTTTGGGTAATAGAGATGACCAAACCAGCCACTGCACGCTGGTGTTCTTTATTTTCATTTGATTCAGATGGCAGCCAGAAACAGTGGCCACACGGTGCTTTGTGGTGGAGAAGGGAACCTTAGCTCTCCTTTGTCTCTTCCTTCTGTTTTCACAAAACCCAAACTTTCCAAGTGCTTTAAAATATAAATGTAAATTTCCTGTAAGATTTCGCAGTTTGTACTCCAGTGAGCCCTCTTACTAGCTAGCCTTAAGAGTTATCCTCTGAGCGCACAATAGGCACAGCTCTCTTCATTTTCTCTTTTCCCCCAACTTGAAAGATGATAGTGGTAGTCTCATGTCTTAAGTAGTTTCTCATGTCTCTCTGAGAATGTGCCCAGTTAAAGCCTCATTGTGATGCTCTAGACTCTCCTGCCTGCTTCAGTTTACTTTCTCTCCCATAATGGCCTGGAAACACACACACACACACACACACACACACACACACACACACACCCCTTACAGCAGAATTTTTATATTCTATTCAGAATTATTTTATATTCTGCAACAGCAGAATTTTGCAGACCCCAAGTTTCACTTTATAGGGTAATATGTTATAGACGTGGCAGTTATGACCATTTCTATTCCTTCTTAGTACTCTAAACAATTACCAGAATGTTGTGGTCTGTGAGGCCAGACTATAGGGAGAAGTACACGGACAGGTCTTCTATGGGACCGGGCCCGCTGTAAGCTTGGAACACTCACAGTGTTTCTGGTACATAGCTAGCTACATCAGCCTTCAACAGATTTTTTTTTTCCCAAGTTAATTGCTTAGACTAACTTGGACCAACCTCTTTCATGCTGTGATGCACATAGAAAATGGTAGTATTTGAATAGTACGATGAGGCTGTTTTGGACCAAGAGCAACCTACCTGGAGACTTCTACCAGCCCAGGCTCTACCTTTCTACCCTGAGGGCTGAGGGGAATCAGTGCATTGTCACACCTATTCTGGGGTGAGCCTGTCTTTGTTTGCATCTGTTGTCCTGGGGTAACTACTAATGGTGACTTCTTTAACTCTCACAATTATTCCCTGTCAGACAATAAATTATAGGTCACTCAACCAGTAAGCCATGCTTGGCGGACCAGTGAGGAAGCTCTGGCCTAGACAACAGCTTATTTTTCTCTTTTTTTCCTACATTCTTAAACTCTGATTTGGTGCTACCCAAGTTTATCCTCCATAAGCTTTACTTTCAGCACTGGACAAATATTTATTGAGTACTTTCTATGTGTCAGGCATTGTAGATACATTCTCATGTAATCCTTTCAACAACTTTGTGAACTAGGTGGTGGTATCACCATTCTGCAGGCTAGGAAATAGGCTGAAAGAGGTTGCCCAAAATAACACAACCAGTAAGTGGCTGAGCTAGAGTAGCAGGTGAGTTCCATTGCACTTGTCAGCTTCATGCTATGACAGTAGCTTATATCATGGCTGAGGGATTGTGGGGCAGAGGGTGAGAAAAGAAGTCTGTGCTCACCTAGCAGTCACTATGGGTGGGGTTGGGAAGGGAGGTAACATGGTACCAGCTAACCCTGTACTACCTCTGGGTAGCTCCCACCTGACTAAGTTTGGGTGGGCAGGTCATTCAGATGACCTTAGGGACAATATCATTTAAGCAGGTCAAGATGACCCCAAAGATTGGTTGGGCAGGACATGGAAAACCTTAGCTCACTTGTTTCTATAATGACCCACCCTACCTGCAACATAAAGAATAATTAAAAATGGGTATACGGGTAGAATGGAGGCAGTGGTGATTCAGTGTTTGAATTTTCTCACCTTTTATGTGGGAGACCTGGGTTCGATTTCCAGCCAGTGCACCTCATGTGCAGCCACCACATGTCTGTCATTTGTGGATTGCATGTTGCTATGATGCTGAACAGGTTTCAGCGGAGCTTCCAGACTATGATGGACTAGGAAGAAAGGCCTGGCAATATGCTTCTGAAAATCTGTCAGTGAAAATCCTGTGGATCACAATGGTCCAGTCCACAACCAATCATGGGGATGGACAGGACCAAGCAGTGTTTTGTTCCATTGTACACAGGGTCTCCATGAGTCAGGGGCCAACTCTATGGCAGCTGACAACAACAACAATGGCAGTAGGGTGGTCCTAAACCTTCTTGGTGTAAGATTTTTGCTCATCTTTGTCTGGGGAGGTTTTGTTCCATAATAAATTGGGTGACTTGAGATTTGCCATAATTGATTTGGGGAAGACCCAGCCATGACCCATAAGGATTCTATACTTTGTTTTTCCCTGAAAGCTGTCTTATTTCTGTCACAGCCAGGAAAAAAATGTGATTGGATTTCTTGTCTGAGAATATCACATTTTGGTGTCTTACTGTCCCCAAGGCATTCTTAAATTTGTTAAAAAACTTTTCCTGTGGCTCTGGGCTTCACTTAAACTTTGGTAGGGAAAGCCTACTAGATTAGCTTCTAGTTTCTTCTAGAGAGGAAGTTCTGTATAACACTATTTAGAATATCATTTTAAGGAGAGCTTTCCTGTGCTTACTTGCTTATCAGTCACAACATGGTGAAGAAGCCTGCATTCACATAGGTACGTCTGTGTTCATTCATTTATTTATTAAACATTTATGGAGCATTCACTATCTGTTGGTCATGTAAGGTGCTGTGGATATAACCCACTGTATCAGCATGAAATGGGAAATTGTCTGTTTTAGTCATCCAGAAAATGCTTTTTCCTTTCCTATATTTGATATTTTTTATTTTCTTCTTTTTAGCATTTCTGGCAAGGAGTTCATTATCGCTGGGCCTTTTTCATGGCCAGTGGCCCATGTCTGGACGTAATTGCAGAACTGGTGGATGCAGGCAAGGTACGTGCAGCCCTTTGTATTGCTAGAGCACCCTTTTAATGCTCAGCGGCCTGCCCACCAACCCTAGTCAATGGGAGCTCTGTAGAGGTGGGCTTGGCCAATTTATATGCTGCCTTACCTGGCCAAATTTAAGTGCTGTATTTTTGGTTCTCTCTCCATGGGAATCATAGACTGACTGCTAAATATGAAAGAGAGCTTATACCATCTGGTCCACCCTCCTTGGTTTATAGATGAAGAGGCAGGCCCAGAGAGGTTAGATGATTTTCCCAAAGACACTTGATTAGATGGTGGCAGAGCTGGGATCCGTGGCTAGGCTGCTTATATTTTGGTAATGGTCTTGGAAAGAAGGAAAGTTCCACCACAAAGGAGATCTGGGCATACAAAGGTGGGAATGTTCTTGGAAGTTTACAGTAGCTTCTGGAGCTCCTTTAGTCAGAAGGTGAGGCTGCTCTGGAGGTAAGCAGATTTCCACATGAGCAAGGGGAACAAACACTGAAATTTAAATCCCAACAGAGGTAGGAGCAGAGTCAGGCCCCAGTCTCCCCATTCCCAGACTAGTATAATAAAGTTGAATACACGACATGTCTCACAGGATCAGTGGCCAGGGCGTGGATGAGGATTGATATGGGTAGAGTCACTGGATGGTATTCTGTGACTACTCGTGTCTGTCCTGCAGTGGACTGTGTGGGGAAGGGATGGTTGCTTATAGTCTGGCCATCCCTTTTAGGATGTCAGAAGGGCTTTCGGGGCTGCTGGGGGTTGAACGACTCCGCAGCTACCACCTGTTCATTTATGTTCTTAAGTAGCCTTATAGTTAAGACTATCCCACCTCTGGAGGGATAACTCAAAAGGTGAACTCATAGTCTGTCACTGATATTTGTGATCTTATTGAGAAATTATGTGGAATTATAGGCCGGCAAACCTTACATATTTTAGAGGGTTGCTTGAGGTCATCCTACCTGATTCTAATTTTACAGATGAGAAAATTGGCTCAGAGAGATAAAGGGACAAGCTCAGGTTTGCAGAAGTAGGACCAGACTCACACCTCCTGACTCCCAGTCCTGTGCCTTTCCCTCTCCACCATTCAGCTGCATTCCTAGTGCTTGAGGCTGAGTTAGGGACTTTAGCTTAAGTTGCGTTGTTCTTGTCATTTTACAAAGGGATTGGAGCAGGGCTATTGTTGCCATTGCATGATCCATGCTGAACTACTTGGAAAGAGCCCCTGGAGATGGGCTTTATTCTATCAGCATGTGCCCCTTGCTAGCCCATTTCATCTTTCCATTTCAGTTTCTGAAAATGTTATTTTTAGGAACTACTTTGTGTGTGTGTGTGTGTGTGTGTGTGTGTGTGTGTGCATTTAGTTTATTTTTTTCATTATAGCCGAGTAACTACATAATAAAAGATAGTCTGTTACTGTTTCCCACATTTTTTGGTTCTGAGTTTTCATGCCTTTTCTCAGACCTTGTAAGTGTTGATGTGTACTAGGTTGAAAAGGGCTGAGCCTTATTGTGACTGTATAATTAAGTGCCTTTCTGTAGGGTTCATGTCATACCTCACAGGGAAGCTTATTTTATTTCTAGGAAGAAGGAATGAATTCTCATCGAATAATTCAGCCCATAGTTCTACATAAGTGCTTCATGTGATTGGAGCCCCATTATTAGAGAGGTCTGTCCTCCACAAGTACACCAAACAATTGTACTTGTCCTCATAGCTGCTCCAGGCTGTCCACATGCTTACCATTGCTCTTTTGTATTCAAAATATTGTGACTCTGTCTCTACCTGGAAGTTACTATTTACCCAACAGAGAAGAAAGGTGGCTTGTATATACCCGCCTACTAATTTTGGCAGATAACTGATAGAATGGTTAAAAGAGGACACAATAGAAATAAAGATGTCCTGAATTATCTTTGAAGGAGGGTGAGTGATTCTTCATTCTCCTGACCAGGGTTATTTGGGCTTTGGAGTCACTTATGATAGGGAAGGGCTCTGGGTCTGTGGAAGCTGTTATGTGAAACTGGATGCCATGGTGAGGTCAGGTGGTGTGTCTTGTCAGGCCACTGCTTCCCTGTGGAGAAGGTCGTTTACTCTTTGGTGAGAGGTCATTGCCTGTTTACACTGGGAAACTGGAAAGGATAACACAACAGATCTTTACATGTTGTGTAGTAGGTACAGATTTGTTAAATTGGATGAGGACATTTGAATTTTTCCAAGCTTAGGCTAAGTGCTTAGTGAATCTGATTAGCAGGTCTCTGAAAGAGGATCTGGAGTTGTTGAAGAGAATTTTGACACTTCTAGAAATGGAATAGCTGTATCAAAAGGTATGTACATTTATAATTTTGATAGATTTTTAAATAGCCACTTCTTAGGAATCCTGGTTTGTGTATTTAGTGTCTGGAACTTCTCTTGCGGCTTACCTTCTATGCCTGTTGTCTCTTTATTTACCTGTTGTGACCTCTCGCCTGTTTTACTTCATTAGAGACTTGTTTCTAGGACTATGGAGAAAACCTGACACTGGTCACTTGTGACTTAAACTCTCCTAGTAAAAATGGAATCTGGATTAATGAGTATTATTTGTGGATTCTAAATTCTCCTTGTTAGCCCTTTATGATTCAGTAAAAATGGATAACCCACAGAGTTAATTGCCATAATCCACTGATAATGTCACTTTAAGGACTAAGGTGTACCTGACCCAAGCCGTGGTGTTTTCATTCGCCTCATATGCTTGTGAAAGCTGGACAATGAATAAGGAAGAACGAAGAAGAATTAATGCCTTTTAGTTATGGCGTTGGCGAAGAATATTGAATATACCATGGAATGCCAAAAGAACGAGCAAATCTGTCTTGGAAGAAGTACAGCCAGAATGCAAGGATGGCGAGATTTTGTCTCACATACTTTGGACATGTTATCAGGATGGACCAGTTCCTGGAGAAGGATATCATGCTTAGTAAAATAGTGGGTCAGTGAAAAAGAGGAAGACCCCCAATGAGATGGATTAACACAGTGGCTGCAACAATGGGCTCAAACATAGCAACGATTGTGAGGATGGTGCAGGACCAGGCAATGTTTTGTTCTGTTGTACATAGGGTCCTGTGAGTCAGAATCAACTGCATGGACCTAACAACAGTGATAGTGTCATGCTTACACTTTCGCTATCAACACTGTCCTGCCTTTGCATACCCATTGTTGCACTCTAAACATTTTTAGAAATAAGCTTTTCTTGTGCCTGCCATTGTTAGGCCCAGAAGTGATAAGAAGCTGAAGTTTTACAAGCATAGGGACCTCACAGTTCATTTCTCCTAAATTCAAGATCCGGACTTGGTCATTGCTTTCATATGACATGTGAAATGATTTCGTAATCACAATTTCAGTCTGAATTTTAAGATAATCTTATAGCATTTTCATTATGACTTTAATTGGGGTTGGCAAACTACTGCCACTGGGCAAATCTAGTCTGAGACAGATTTTTGTAGGTCCTCTGAGCTTAGAATGGTTTTTACATTTTAAATGAGTTATTAAAAAAACAAAAAGAAGGACATAGACCATGTGTGGCCCACATGGTCTAAATAATTACTGTCTAACCCTTTACAGAAAAAGTTTACTGACCCTTATCTTAGAAACATGGTTAAATTTTTTTAACCCATTCATGCAAGCCCCAGTTTATACATCAGGCAAAGGAGGAGCTGCATAGCTGGTGACATAGTGACAGGGAATGACCTCCCCTCAAAAGTTCCTTCTCTTTCCCTGCAGCTGCTCCACACAGCAAGGAACCTGGGGCTTTCAGAGACCAGTTTGAAAATGACTATGTTATGCACTGAATTGTGTCCCCCAAAAATGTGTGTCAACTTGGCTAGGCTATGCTTCCTAGAATTATGTGGTTGTCCTCCAATTAGTGGTCTGATGTGTTGTGAATCTTAACCTCTGTGATGTTAATGAGTCAGGATTAGAGACAGTTATGTTAATGAGGCAGGACACAATCTGTAGGGTTATGTTGTATCTTGAGTCAATCTCTTTTGAGATATAAAAGAGGGAAGCAAGCAGAGAGGAGAAGGACCTCACACCACCAAGAAAGAAATGCCAGGAGAAGAGTGTGTCCTTTGGACCTGGGGTCCCTGCGTTGAGAAACTCCTAGACCCAGGGGAAATTGATGACAAGGACCTTCACCCAGAGCTGACAGAGAGAGAAAGCCTTCCCCTGGAGCTGACGCCCTGAATTCGGACTTATAGCCTCCTAGACTGTGAGAGAATACATTTCTGTTTGTTAAAGCTATCCACTTTTGGTATGCCTGTTATAGCATCACTAGATAACTAAGACAGAATTTGGTACCAGTAGTAGGGTCCTACTCTAACAGATACCTACAGTGTGGAAGTGTTTTTGGAATTGAGTAATGGGTAGAGGCTGAAAGAGTTTTCAAGTGCCTAATAGTGAAAGCCTAGATTGCCTTGAAGAGGCTGTTGGTAGAATTGTGGACATCAAAGACAATTCTGGTGAGGGCTCAGAAGGAAGTGAAGAGAGCTGTAACACTGGAGACAGCGCAGATGGTGAGAAGCAGCAGCAGAACCAGGAAACCAGTGTGAGATGGCATGGGAGCCAACCCATGGAGCGAGAGAGCTGAGTGCCTTTGGACGGGAGGCTTCCTGGTGGGGTGGAGTGCCTCCAGGCACTCATTGGTGAAGCTAGGCTTGCCGACCCACAGAGCTAGAGAGCTGAGTGCCTTCGGGCCAAGGCTTACTGGCAGAGTGATGTGCCTCTGGGCACTTACCCGAGGCGCTAAAGAGCTTTGTAACACTTGACTGAGCAGGGCAGAGGCTGGGCTGGCCCAAGAGGCCCAAGAGGCCCAAGAGGCCCAAGGAGCTGAGAGGCCAAGAGGCTAAGGAACCAGGAAACAGAAGCTGAAGAGACAAGGAGCACAGGAAGCAGAGCTGCCTCAGTCTCAAAGGGTGGGGCCACGGCCTCATGGTTCTCAAAGAGTGGAACCACAACCTCCTAGGTTTCAAAGAGTC